TTCGCGCAAACCTTGAACAAGAATCGGCGACTTTCGAAGCACGTATATAGAGTACGTTCATTGCCTTCTTGCCTACCATACTACAAAAGCAAAGTATAGAAGCGTGTTGGATGCAAAGGGGCAACAACTAGCGCGAGTCAATTCAGCCGCTCGTCTCATTAACCATGAAGTATGATCTTTTATCACCTGATTATGGAAAATAAACAATCAAATAATAACTTACCGATTTTTAAACTTGACATATTCTTGCATACAAGCCTCTAAATTTTACGTCGTTATACAGCTTGTTTTCCCCCACCCCGGGCCGCAGCCATGAACGGGAGCGACTAGAGACTATAGGGGATTGAATCTTTATGGGGAATCGGGTCGAATGAAGGGGGGGCTTGGAAATTAGGGAAAGATACCACGAATTGTACAGAACTCCATGCACCAAAGAGGTTTTGTTCACTGTTACGCTCTCAATAAACACCACTCACAAAAGTACGATGTTAACACCTTTACCCACGATATTAATCGTCACACATCCAAGCAACGAATAGATAAAACTTGTGTGAATATTACTGTATTCTTTATTTGTTACACTTGGATTCGTTTATACGACCCCTCCCGCAAAAAGAACAGACACACCCTTAATCCAAAGATGTTGAACGATCATGCGCGCAACTGACAACGGGTGCCCCCGAAATCCACTCCTCGGATTTTAATGAACTGTTTTATGCTGATAGATCATCTTATTCAGAATCTTTCTACATATGATATTTTTTGGTATATATAGTTAATAACTTAAAAATATATACAATTTATCTATTTTATTGTAATAGCTGCTTTATAAAATAGCCGACTAGGCGCTAGCTATAACTGCAAGTTTATTCTTGCGCGCGGATTCAAATCCCGGCAAATAAATTTCAAATTGCATTTTTTTTTAAATAACTGTGTAATTATGTGAGTAAGTAGTAGGTGGTACATACATACATTGTAAATTCAAATCCGAGCGTAAAAAGAAATTCCCCGCTCTTTATACATATAAAAGCTTTGTTACGAGATTGTCGTTTTTATGGGCTTATACATAAACCAACGTTGGCGCCATAATATAGAATATATAAATGTTGTTTTTCAATTTTATGTTGTTTCTGTTGGAATATGATAATCAAAAAGAAATGAATAATTATCATTCAACAATGTTGAAATCTTTGTCAAATTCATTCTCATGAAGTTACATCATAAGTTATGCTCTTTCCACAAACACATAAATACAAGTTTTAAGTACTCACGAAGTTTCTAAGTATTATGGCTACCAGCGTGTGTCTGACGTATACGCATGGCCGCATTCTAGAATAAGTACTTAAATGTCAAATGACATTTAAGCAAATAAAACCGTATGTTATATACCACTAATATGTGATATTTCGTATTCTTTTATTAAATAACTGTAAGTAGATTACATTAAGAGCATTTTATAGAATGACCTATATGTAATAGATACATACATCTTGTAAAAAATAAAGTCTAAAAGATGGACTAACATAACTTAATAAAATGACAGTCATTTATTGTTGTACATACGTGTTATATTTACCGGAAAAAGATTTTATAAAAGCCCTGTATTAAATTTTTATGTAATTTGGAATAATGGATAATTTGTCAGATTCGTTCAAAGGTGAACTAGATTCTGTTACATCAACAGATTCTCTGCAATTAGTAACAGATGAATTTTGTATCAGACATTTGTCAACACCTGATGTTTCAAACATAGAGTTGTCAAAACGTGTTGCTTTATTAGAATTAGAAAATGAGAGGCTCAGAATGGATCTAGAAAATATGCGCATTGAACTGAATGCTAGAATTGCAGCAAATGAAGGTCTTAAAGGAAAGATAACTGAATTGTATGTGGAGATGCAGTTGGTACTCCAAGAAAAACAAAAACTACAAAATACTTTGACAGATGTCAATAATCGTTTAGATGCATCAGAAGCATCTACAAAATGGTATCAGTCTCAAGTACATGGGTTACAAGCAAGTAAGAAAACTTTGCAATTAGAAGTTGATACGTACCAGGGGATATTGCAACAAAGGCAACAAACTATAGCAAACATAAATGCTAGATATAAACAACTAAATATGGATTATACTGAACTTCTTCAAAAACATCAGAAAGAGAAACAAAATTTAGAACATGAAGTACGAAGCTTAAAAACACAAAATCAAACAAATAGTAATTCAGAATCAGAAGATAGGTGTATAACATCTAGTTCTCCAGATGTATCTACAAAGTTGGAATTAACAGAAGATGAATTACGAAATACAAAAGCAGAATTAAAAACATTAGAAAAACGGCTGTTAGGCAATGAAGTTTCCAAGACATTAATGGAAAATACATTGACCAAGCAAAGATTATTAATTACAACTATGGAAGAAAACATACAAAGGTGTGAAACAGAAAAAAATCAAACTGCTGATTCTCTTCGCAAAACGCAGCTCGAAATTCAGAAATTGCATTCTAAAAATGAAGCATTGCAGACTACTCTGCTTTCTTCCAAACAGGAACAAAGTCAGATAGAAGATGCAATCTTCCAATTGCGATTACAATTAACTAAAATGATCGCACAGTATAAACTTCTAAAAACAAAAAATACAGAAGCTGAAGAAAAATTGAATTCAATGCAGGATATAATAAATGAAAACAAACGGTTAAAAACGTTGTCGTACGAAGCTAATAGTGCTCTTATTAGGAAACTTCGACAGGAAAAACGTAAAGTGAAGCATTTGGAAAATAAACTCCATGGTATCCAAATTAAGGGACATTTAAATAATATGGTACTGAAAATGATCTTACAAAATATATTCAAAAAAGTCTATTGAAGAAATCATGTATTTTTTTATGATTATTTTGTTTTAGAAAGGCAAGATGGAAGTTTCTTTACAAGAGTGTCTAAAGCAGGTTTTAATTAGAAACAAAGTAATGCTCATGGTTTATTCATTATATCATTACTTAATGCAACATGGTACTAAAAATACTTTTTTTCTACAGGATTTAAAGGATCAATTGAAGGCACTTACAAAAAATTCAGATGAAAGTATCGATGAAGGATATGGTGATAGCAGTATTGTTAGTTCTGTTTCTGTAGACATTCCATCACCGAATTCCATTAATCCAGTATTATTAAACACAGCTTCTAGTGTTTTATTACAATGTAAGGATTTCTGTAAACCAGTACAAATAGAACTTGACCATCTACGATTAAAACTTATCAAGTTAAAAGAATGCACCATATAGTATTAAACTAATTTATTAAATAATTATTTTGAAAAATTTATAATCTTATTACAAATGACATATTATGAAATATATATAAAAGGTGGTGACTGGTTATTAACTTGAATGATAAGTAAGGTTGATTGAATTGTAAATACATTAATTTATAATAAATCTTATAATTGTTACAATTATGAAAAGAATAGATTCAGAATTTATTTATACAATCGTTTTACTAAACTTAAACTTAAATGTACCATCTTAATCAGTAAAACATGGCAATACTGTGCTGTAATTGTGAAAACAAATTATTTCATTATTTGTTGAACATTTTTTAACATAATATTAACTTTGAAATAAAAAATTGTAAATGAAATGTTAGCTAACTACAGTTACATTTTTATATTGTACATCTTAATTTTTAATACTTCTGAAGAAATTTGTAACTAAGAAAAATTATATATATAAATTGTTTTACAGGTACAATATAGTGTTTACATTTTATAATATTAGAATGAGTGTAAATATTTCGTAAAAGTTTACAATAAATATGAGATATATAGTGAATAATAGACATTTAACAGAAACATTTATTTAAATTTAATGTAATTTATTGTGATAACTACTTACTGCTATTATACCAAATTCTTTTTCTTTTATGAATGGAACAACGGATAAAAGTAACATAGTTTTATAAGCAGAAAAATTGAAATGTAGCATTACTTTTCCAACATTTATGATACGGTATATAATATGGGAGTATTTCATGAATTTTATTAGATACAAGTATTTAATAAATCTGATAAATTAAATCAAGGATTCCTAAAAATGCGAGTTGAAGATGTTTTCAAATTGAAGTATTTTATTAAACAATACAACACATTTTGCATTAGTAACTTTAAAACCATTCTAAAGACTATTATAATTAATTCTATTTCAAATTTGTCGTACATTGCAATTTTATTTATGAAAAAATCAATATATTGCATTTTGTACTTGCTTATTGTTAATATTATTTAAAACACCTTTTTTTCAGAAAATGTACTTAGTGACATTAGTAAGAAATAAATATCAAGATTACAAAGTTTTTATAGATACAAACACTCAACAAATTCTGTTTTCAATTTTTGATATAATTATTTATATATATATATTTATAAAATAAGCGTAGTAAAAATTTAATTATAATTTTTTTTAAAGTATCACAGATGAATATATCAAGCAAAAAAAAAAAAGAATAGTTTCCTGCATTTAAGACACATTTAATCTGATTAAATACAAGTTCTTTGGTATACATAAAGTAAAATTGACGAAGTTAAAGTAATATATTTAAATTAAAAAAAAACAACATTTTTTTGCACAGTTCTCAAACATTTTTAATTGTTAATTCGACTTTCTTAAAAAATATATATAAAAAACATCCAAATTTAGTACGAATATTGAAATGTTTAAGTCTTTATTTAATATAGAGTTGTTAAACTAAATTGTACAATACGCTAATGAAAAACATCCTAATAGAAATGTAGTATAATATAAAAATATAAATAAATAGCGACGTATATTTTATCATATTATAAATTAGAGTATTTTTTTATTCCTTAAAAGATATTAAAATAAAAATATTGTTTAAAACAAATATACAAAATAATTATTTTATTTTTTAAAATAAAGATAATTAATATAATCAATTTTTATGATTTTGTAAACTTTTATGAAAAATATTTACTATTCTATATTTATAGAGCATAATAACGTAATAAATTTATCATTATCATACTAAATAACTCACTTTATGATAAAATTAATGTTTAAACTTATCTGTACTGGAATGGTTTTGTATTTTTCATCTTACTCAACTTTTTTTAAGTTTTATCCTACTACCCTTTTGTATCACAATCACAAGGAAGATTTTTTATCCTTTAATAGAATATTCTTTGTTATACAGCAAAGAATTATTTAATGCGTAAAAATAAAATAAAGAAAGCAAAATATTAGTTTCAACAATATATAATAACTAAATAGCACAGATTAAAAACTTAATGAAACTTTTTGGATGTAAATATTACATATGTACAAAAAGCAATACTTTGCAAAGCATATTAATATGCAACAATTTTCTTCTATAGTTTGAACAGTGTTTTCTCAGAAGTAGTGGTTGATTTATGTATTAAATCAAAATTCTCAACTCTTGAAAGGTATATTTCATACGTTAAACTTGTAATATAATAGAATTACATATTATTCTAAAGATTTACATTGCTTCAGAATGTATGTATAGAGCAAAAATTAAATTTTTTATTCCTTTAAAAGGAATATGTAAATATCTGTTTAAACACTGATCCATGTCTGCTCTGTTTTATACCACGATCTATATTATTGAGAAATTTCTGTGTAAAATTAAACACACATTGAGAAACGCATTCGAAAATGGTTGTAAAAATACATAATATATAATACACGTTACTTTCCCGATTCTTTACTATAAATGAATTTAAAATCACTGGTATAAAATATTTTTTAATATAACATTTTGATTGCGCATTTTTATCCCATATTTCTGATTTATAATTTGTTACAGTACTTACAGTTTTGTATACATATTTATATTAACAAAAAAATGAAGTTTGTACGATTGCAGATCGTTTAAAAGAGCACCATGGCTTCAGTCTACAGAAACAGTCCTTGGAAGTTTCAACACATCCCATCTTATACACCGTTACAACGGGAATGTTGCTGAACAATAATACCTATAATTTTATCATGTAAAAGTAATTTGAAATTAAACAGTTATTATATAGTACATTCATAATTATGCTACTAATGCTACTCATATTATTATATATATTTAATAAAATAGGAGACCAGACAATAAACAGTTTATCTCGAACCCATTGTCATCTGGGAGTAGATTCCGTCTGTCTAACTTTGTCAAATTGACGCCGATAATGAGCTCGTCCACGACCTCTATTTCGATGCCCATGATAACTATGATGTAATTGTGTATGATTCCTTGTCTGATGTGATGGCTGTTTTGACTGCGGCATTTGCTAAGGGAAACATTTTGTTAAGATATTTTATAAAATCAAATTTTTCATTTTATTCCCAATCATGTATCTTTACATTGATAAAATTTTTTCTTTTAATGTCAAAAATATGCAAACGTACCATATGGTTAACAGATTGCATATTTTGATTGGAATATGCATTTAAACTGGTTCCAGGTGGATTAAGTCCTTCGGTAGTAGCACCAGGTTCATCTTCTGTTCTTACCAACATTTTTATTCCCTCAGCTTCTAGATCAATTATACCACCCCTTTGTTGTTGTCTTAAGAATAATGCTGCCATTTGTTTTTGCAGTTCTCTTAATTCTGCAGTAACTGAAAAATCTGTTGCAGCTTCAACATCTATCGGAGGTGGAGCAGACCATAAACTTTCTACATCACAATTAATTGATTCTCGACATACAGGACATATAGCCTGCAAAATTACACTAACATTTAATACATATCATAATAATAAGGTTAATTATAAAATGAGAGAAACAAAGTGATATACTTGAAATTTATTAGTAGTATCTTGCTGCCACTGTGGCAATTTTTCTTGTTCTTCTCTATAATATCTTTCTGCAGCAGCTACATGTGCTGCTAAACAATGCGAATGAAAATAATGATAACATTCTGTTTTTGTGAATTCATCTCCTTCTCTAAAACCATACAAGCATATGGCACACTGATCAGTTGGAAGATTACTTCTTGTAAGATGTTCCCTGATCAACTGTTACAATAATATAGAAAATTATTAATTATTACATATGTATATGAGATATAATTTGCAAGCTTTCCATTTCTCTGTGTAGGACATACCTCAATAAGTTCAAACATAACTGGTTGGCCTATGAAATCATTACATTTTGCTTCTGCATCTGATTGCATAAGCCTTACTGTATTTTCATCTAATCCTCTAGGATTCCTAAGACTAATAGTAGGTGATATATCTGGATATCCCATAGGTAATTGAACAATTAATGTTACACAAACATATTGAGATTGAGAGTCTTCCCCAGTAGATGGAAATAACACAGTCTCAATGCATTCTGGTTCACCTCTAAAAAAGAAAAAAGAATAATGTTTATACTTGTAGATATTGACATTTTAAATTTAAATATATACTGTACTGTTAATAAGTATTTGAAAATATTTTTCTACTTTATTTAGATAAACTTTTCTTATAATTCATTATTTATTCAGATTTAAAATATCTTTCTTTTTTGAAAGAAAGAAATATTTCTTATTTAATGTAAGACTTTACAAGGATAATTTAAGTCAAGATTTATGTTAATGACAGAAAATTTACAATTGATTCAGACTAATAGCTAGGTTAAAAAATATTAAATTTATTCGTGTAAAGAACTTACCTTTCGTTTTCCTTTATGTTTAACTCATCGTCAAGTAGAATCGCCTTTAATGCTTCGATTTCGTCAGTCACTCTGAGAAAAATGTTCATACATATTAAAAAAATTGAAAATCAATGAAAAACACCGATTATTAGAATCCCAAAGAAGTTACCTTTCATCTATTATCGTGTCTGACATCGTTCTTGAAGTAAATGATACTCCGATTTGTTTCGTGAAAATTATTTCGAATTTGACAGAATTTTTTCAGTCTTCAACGATTACAAGATTCTCGATAAGCGTCAATGTGCGTCAATATTGAAAACCTTCTGCTACTATTCCTGTTACCAACTGGTTTTCGCTTTAGAATTATTGGTAATATTATGTTTTTAGCGGGTTTTCTGGGGAAACATGGGGTGGATTGGTGTCCATGAAGCGTGCAATCGCTCTGCTCACGAGGTGCGCGAAAAATTTAAGAAATATATGATTTCAGATACAAAATTGATCTGATATCCGAAAGAAAGCGCTTTCGCTGGATAAGTGCAGTGCTTTTCAATCCTTGGATTTTCAGCTTTCTTTCTATTTCATCACCTACAGTGATTCTTTAAACTTTAAATAATATATAGACTTCTGACGTTCTGGCAGTTTCAAATATCGTTTACATATCGATATCATATATCGTAATGTCACCATATTTCTAAAGTTCAGTTCACGCGATAGTTGACATACACATGTCAAATTTAAATACTCTAAAATGACAGTTTTACTCTTTCCAAATGTGCTAATTTCAGTTCAATTGTAGACGTTAATTTGAATGTTATTGTTACGTTAAGTAATTTGTTGTGTATAATAATAAAACTTTTTTAAAGTTAGTAGATTTCTTCTTTGCTACATATATATATAAATACATCATTTTTAGATAAAATCTTTTACAATTTGTATATATTTTTCAGCATACAAATAGTGTTGATGGTATATTTTTAAAGAATCATTAGTACCTATTCATAAATTATGATAAAGTCAAAAGATTGTGATTTTGAATTAGCATATAAATTACATCAACAAGAAAATCGTTTTGGATTGACAGAAAATGCAATTTTACCTGCAAATGTAAGTTTATATTATAGTGATTTTTATACAAATTTAATAATATTTAGAAACATTGTATTTACTTTTAGAAAAATGGAGGGAATTATAAGCCCAGAACATTAATTGATCAGACTTTAGAACTAATTGATCCAACTCCTAATATACATACATTATTTGTACAATTTAATGAACGTTTCTTTTGGAATGTTTTACTTCCTGTTGAAGTTAAATGGAGTAGTAGAATGACAAGGTAACTGCTTTACCTTATTCTATGTTAAATAAATTAAAGTAATCATTATTTGTATAATAATTTCATTGTATATTTATTCTTGATATAGCTGTGCTGGTGTATGCAGTTTCCATCCTAGAAATCGACAATGTATAATTGCACTTAGTGCACCATTATTGAAACTTAGACCAAGAAAAGATCTTATTGAAACTTTATTGGTAAGATTCACATAATTATTTGGTAATTAAATATACCTATATATCAATTTTTTTCTAATCCATATATTATATTCTAGCATGAAATGATTCATGGATATTTATTTCTCACAAATAACAACCGTGATAGAGATGGACATGGTCCAGAATTTTGTAAACACATGAACAGAATAAATAAAGAAGCAGGAACAAAAATAACTGTATGTATCTATAATAGAATAAATACTGTAATATAATGTAATGTAATATTAATTTTAAAACTGCTTTTGTGTATAGATATACCATAGCTTTCATGATGAAGTTAGATTATATCAACAACATTGGTGGAGATGCAATGGTCCCTGTCAAAAAAGAGCTCCTTATTTTGGTACTGTACGTAGAGCCATGAATCGTGCACCAGGTCCATCTGATTTTTGGTGGAAAGAACATCAGCAAACTTGTGGTGGTCAGTTTATTAAAATTAAGGAACCAGAGAATTTTAAAGCAAAAGGTTCAAAGAAAGTAACATCTACTCCCAAAAATACTAGTCCAGCAAGCAATATATTTACTTGGCTCACAAAAACTCCTCCACCTAACACTGGACTGAAATCACTACCAGATAATCAAAAGTCATTAGATGAATTCAAAAAACTTGGAAATAACACAAATAATGTTCATGGGTGGGGTACAAGGGGGCCAAATACTGTAAATAATTCACAGAGATCTAATAGTTCTAATACTACTTCAGTTTCTAATATACCTAAATTCTCTTCTTCTGGAGTTCTTGGTGGTTCTAATACGGGAAAAAGTAATCTATTGAACAAGTTTTTTGATACTCATAGATCTAAGACAGGTGCTGTATTTTCAAAAAAAGCAATAGATTTGCCAATTGTCAATCTAACAACAAAAAAATCAAATAATAATAATAATCAGTCATCAAAAGAACCAGAAGTAAAATTCGTGGAATGTCCAATATGCGGTACTTTTATATTGAACAATGACATAAATAAGCATGTAGACCAGCATTTAATAGCAAAAGATGAAGAAACAAAAAAGAAAGAAGTTAGTTCACAAGGGAAAATGAATAATTTTTCACTTGTACAAAAAAGAAAAAATGATACCCCTATATTTTCAAATAAACAGCCAAAATTAATTACAGTAGAAAATTCAAGAAAAACTAATTGTCCTGTGTGTAGTAAACCTTTTGAACTTGCAAGTATAAATGAACATCTCGATAAGTGCCTTTTAGAAATAGATGAGCAAGCTAACAATTCAGTTACTAATTTAGATGATACAAACGATAAAAATGAAAGCATAATTTCTATAAGTAGTACATCCAGTACTGGTTCATCTCCAAAGGATTCTTATTGTACCCCAAAACTTATGAAAGATAATGCGACTGAAACTACCTCACACAATTGTTTAGTTTGTAATGCCTATATTCCATCTGGGATGTCGTTAATCGATCACCTAGAAGACTGTATTGGGAATGTTTTTAATGATGATTTATCATTATCCACTGACTGTGATAACGAAGAAATATCAGAAATATCCTCAGAAATATTGATTGATCAGAATGATAAGTATCCCTGCCCTGTTTGTATGCAATTAATATCAAAATCACTTATGAATCAACATTTAGATGTATGCCTTAAAAGTACATAATTATAATTAAAAAAAATTGATACTTTATTTCATTATTTATATTCACTAATAGATATGAGAAACTGTAGAAATATATATAAGTTTTCATGCATTATTTATTTAAACTTGTATTTATGTTCTTATAATTATATACTGCCATTTTATATTATATATGAATTAAATAAATATATTTTGTTTTATAAATCAGTGTTATTGCTACAGACCTATAAAAAGTAAATGACTTATTATATCTGTTCGTTTAAAAATTTTCATCCACTGCATCTTGAAAGAAATACAAGTTATATTAGAAATAATTATAAGTTTATATATATATAAAACAGTTGTATTTTTACAATTTCTATAACAAATTCTCTTATGTTATAGTCGTATAGAAATTAATTAAAAGTAAATACTATTTCTAAATATATACTATATTTCAAATATTCTGATTGTAAATATATCAACACTAGTTGTACAACAGTTTTTTATAAATAAATCATCATAACTTTTCATATAAATTATTAGTATCAAGAGTACGTAACGTACATATACCACAACTGAATTCCAATAAATATGTTGGAAAGAACAGAAGAATTTGTTCTTGTGTCCAATGCATGTATAAATAGAGATTTGGAACTATCAGATCAATAGTAGTATTGTCCAACCTTACCCTGAAATAAAATATCATACAACAATATAATCGAAATATTATGACATACATGTAAAGAAAAACAATTAATAAAAGATACATGAAAACTTACTTTTTAGATCCAAATGAGTGAAACATAAAGCTTTGTGGTAATGGAATATTTATTGAGTTATTGTATAATGTTGCTCCAATTTGATTAGGTACAATTCGTACAGTATCTATTTCGTCATATATGTTAACATTAACACCATGCAAGTTATTCTGTACTGTTAATGCATATCTCGGATCTTCGCTATAACATTGACCGAGCAACAAAACTTCACCTTTGTCGCGAAGCGGGAAACTTACATTGTGAATAGTTCTTATAGAGTCTGGTGTCACAATACATGAGCCTAAATTTGGAAGTGATTAAGACAGGTAAGGTACTGTAATCAAATAGAACGAATTCTGCAGGTACAAACGATTAACTACTTTTTCAAAAACTAATTAAAAATGGTATATTAACTTACCAAAAAATGTCTTTAAAATTGATAAATCCATATATTTATGAATTCTGGTTCTGGTTAAAAAATAATCTATAAAATTATAGTTATATTCAATAACTACTTTGTCATTGTTGAGAGATAATTCTCCGGTATCCGATTCTTTTGGAAATACTGCAGTTATAGAAAATTCTTTGGAAACAGGTACTGCACTACTGTTTCCACCAATGAAGTCATAAAAGCCACGCAATTTCCAAGCTAATCGCGTTAAGTATTCTGGTACCTAATTATTGTTAAACAATTAAGAATAATAAGTATATATTTATTTAACAAGTATAAACAAAACGTAATCCTTAACTTACATTTTCTTGTTCTGTAATAATTTGATATTTCCTCAAAGTTGATAATTCCCTTGAAGCCTCATAACAGGCATCAGTATACGGTGTAAAACGTTTTCCCTTTGATTGTTTTCGACACTCTTCGTATGGCCATTTTGCTACTTTAGCATCTTCTAGTTGTTCCTTACTAATTTCACCAATTAAGTTCAATGTGATTGAAGATCCACTACATTTACCTTTTGCTGAATCAGATAATCCCCAAACAATATTCATTGTGATCCTAGCAGGATCGCTAGGTTTAGTGCTTAGAAAATCCCATTCCCAAGGGATTTCTTTTTCTGCTTCTAAACAAAACTGAATAAAAATAACATATTATTTTGACGGTATTTTTTTTAATCATAGAGTATATCTTTAAACTTTTAGATCGAATTTACCTTTAATACTTTTTCACCTGGTACGATTTTAGTTGCTTTAATTTTAATCATATCAGACATCCAACTGGTAATTTCATAAAGTCCAGCTAAATTCCATTGTTGCAATAATTGAGATGATTCTACATTGCGACGTGTTAAAGATAATATATGATGATTGAGACCTCTGATGTATTCGAATTTTACCTAATGAAATATGTTTAATATATTATTTATACCCTAGATAATTAAAATATACATTGCTCTTATATACTGACTTGAGTACGTGTTGTATCAATTGTACTAATATAAGCA